TTTCCCTAATGTTGTTGTTCTTGCTAACTTCCATTTCTCTGAGATCCATAATTCTTCTTCCTTGCAGTCACGAAAGAATTCAAAAAGCTTCAAGGCCTCCTCTAGCTGAGATTTGCTGAAACAGAGAAAGAACCAGTATTTCACTGTCAGAACTGGGATCCCTTGGAGACAACGGTACAGAATATCTTAATCAAAGTGCTTCAGAATTTAGAAAATTCAAAACTTGAATGCCTGTAACTACTCTTTGTCATAGTTTAATTTATCCTTATAAAAAATAAGGCAACCAAAATTAAATTTCCCACTTCCTCTAGGAGAAGTGCAGTCAACTGACATGCTATCCAGACCATGCCTTCTGGCAAGTAAAAATAAATGCTAAGCATGAAGCTATTCTTCAGCTATGAGAGCTAGTGAACCCTTTCAGTCAGCTGTAATGAAAACACTGAAACTGCTTGCGTAAGGTGTTTCTAAACAGGGAAATGAGAAAATCTAAGTGCTAGGACTTCTGTGTCCTCTGATTTAAAAGGGATTGCTAGACCATCCTAATCAGCAAGAAAAGAGCCACCGAGTACAGCCCTACCGTGTCTTGCTCAGAGCTCCAAGGTTCTGATACAGCTGTCGAAGCATCTGAACTTTTGCATAAAGCACTTCTGGTTTAACTGTCTTGTCCTTGCTGATTTCTGCTGCCCTTTGGGTGATATATGTCAATCTGTCATCATAGGAAGAGATCTGTGACTCAACCAGGTTATGCTTCTGCAGCAAATCTACTACTTCCAAAAGCTGCTTCCCATATTCCTGGGAATTCACTAGTGCCTGCAACAAAGTGAGAAAGAAATGTCATTAGTAGAGGGTGTCATCTAAGGGCCAGTATAAAGAAATCAATTAAAAGGTTTCGGTTGACTTGGATTAATTTTAAATGTAAAAGACTGATTTCAACAGTGTAAAGATTGCATCTACCTAGTTACAAGAACCATACTTTTCTTTCAGTTTCACAAGACACTGCCAGCAGAATCAAACAAGCCCCTATTTTCACATCTAAACTACTCTATTGATTGATCACTCAGATTTTCATCATTCTTGGGGGGGGGTGAATAGCCCTTTCCTACACACTCAATAGACGCACAGTCTTTATCTGGAGAATTCTACGAGAACCCATTTCATGACATGCTTTGACTACTTTTTTTTTCTTTGAGGAACTTATGTGCCTTTGCTATCTAAATAATAAAAGAATAAATAATAAAATTAGCATTTTATTTGGACCTTACAATGATACTATATGCCTGAGAGTTTGTTCTCTTCCTAATTGTATCAATTGTTCTAATGCAGGATATTATCTTTATGTATAACTCTTTCTTCTCTCATATATTTAGGCTATCATGGTTACTACAGTAAAAATCGTGGTATTTTTTGAAAGCTGATGATAGACTCATCTGTTTGCACCAAGCATGCAGGGAGCACTCTAGACCATACTAGTCCCTGGAATACAGGCTTTTTTTAGTGATGCACATTGCTAATAGTGTGAGCCGTGTGCTAGCAGAGAGGGCCTGGTACCTGCAACTCTTTCAGCTCCTCCGTAATGGCATCAATATCCCTCATGAGGCCCAGAATTTCCTGCATTGCCCTCAGAGAGTGTTGCCGTCTCTGCAGCTGATCCAGAAGATCTTGCCACTGTTTTGAAATGCTGTCTTGCCTATGTGGAAAGAGACAAAAAAGAGCTACATGTAGCAAAGACTTCATGCTTTGGGCAGCATGGGGAAAGAATCCCAGTGCTCACAGTTTTGGAGTCAGTGGGCTCCAAATTGCTCCCACTGCTGCCTCTGCCAGTGGGGCAGTGATCACACTGCATAAGATAGGTCACTGCAAACATTTTTCATGGAAAAGAGTTTTTTTGGCAGAGTACAGACTTTCATACATACATGAAAATATCTCAGAACTATTTTTTTCACTAAAAATCAACTTCAATTATGGATAATTGAAGAAAAAGAAAAAATTAAAGAAAATGAAACATTTACATGCTGAAACTGTTCATGAGTAGAAGAAATTCCAACCAGTTCTATTCATGGAGGCAGAAGCAAGTAGCTACAACACTGCTTCCTTCTCCACTCAACCGAATACTAGGACTAACTTTAAACTCCACGACTACACAGCCCCACAAATTCTCACTCACCTCTTCTTGATTTGGTCCTTGTCATGGTAGTTCTCCTGGCTGATGATTGCAGCCATTTCAGCCAAATCTGTGAAACGTTCCCTCCTGGGGAACACATCTGCCACAATGGCTTCCAGCTTCTTACTGGCAGCCTCCATCCTGTCTGCGCTCTCTGGCCAGAAGTCCTGCTTCCCAATCACTTTCTTCATGTCTTCCAAGTAGGACTCACGCAGGGCTGCCTTCTTCCGGAACCTCTGAGCTAGCTGTTCCAGCCTCTCTAGCCTCAACATCTCTTTCTGTAGAGCTTTTCCCCGGTTGTGCTCTGCCTTTTCCAGGATAATCCAGTGCTTTTCCACATCCTGCAGGGTCTTCCCTTCTGGAGGCTGGTATGGCCTTTGGTTGTTGGCTCTCTGCTTGGTCCTGATGTTGAAGAGATGAGCTTCAATCACACCTTTCTCTTGGTATTTCGGGGGCTTCTCCACAGTGCGAAAAGTCTTGAAGTTGGCCATGAGCAGCCACATTTCCTGAAGAGTGTTGGGAAAATGACGATCATCCAGCTCCATCACCTTCTGTTTAATCCATTTCAGGAGGTCAGAGACCATCTGCTCGTACTGAAGCTTCAAGTCATCTATCTCCTTCAGGAAGGACACAATCTGTAAAGGGAATTACAAGACACATAAGAAGTGAAATGGAACAAAGTGGGTGAACAAAATGCAACATCCTAAACTATGTTTAGGATCCCAATGACCTGCAATACATGTCAAGAAACTTATATTTAAAAAGCAGGTTGCCACAGTCATCACATTTTTCTATCAATGGGGTGATGGCTGTCACAGCTGAAGATAGGTGAAATCCTACAATGAGATTCCATAACATACAGTAAAATAAATGTTACTTAATGTCTCATTTTGTTTTTATTTAAGAAAGGTTAATTTTTGAATTACGTGACAATGCATGCGTGCAGAGACTGTCAACAGTTCCTGTGTGGGCTGACCAGAATGCAAGAATCCTGAACTGAGGATTAAAATTCTGTTTCATAGTAGAACAAGACAGGGATTTTTTTTTTCTATTCACTTTCATGAAAAGAAAAGGAACAGTCCCACAGTCCCACCCTGCTAACACACAACTACTCTCTCCTAGATTCACTGCCTTAAGTTTCAGGAGAGCATCTTACAAGTTCCACATTTGCCTGAAACACATCCTGGCTCTCTCGCAACCCTACTGCAAACTGTAGTTGAGCAGCCCCTTCTCAATTTCCTCTGTTGGAGCTGTTTCATCTTATATAAATTATGAGAGAAAGAATGCAACATATCCAAACAAGTTGACTCTGTACTGATTTTTCAAGTCCAGGACTTTTATCTGCTTCATCTGTGGTCAGATCTGTATTTATGTGAACTTCAAGTAAATACTGTCCCTTGGAAAAATATTTAGAATAAATTGTATAATAAAATAAAAAGGGTTAGAATGAAGCCATCCTTTCCCTCTATTTTTACATACTTTTCTTCTGCATCTTTTTATATTATGTTTTTCCCTCACCCTACTCAGTAGCCCTTGTTCTGAATCACTCTCTGCAGACATCAGAGTTAATGCTGAACAGTGTTGTCTGCCCGTCTGCTCCAGGCAGGCAGATTAGGAAGGGGGATGGCACACTGAGCAAAGACCCAGGCCCTGCAAGGAGTAATCTGCTTTTACCTATCTGAAAGTGCACTTGGCAACGAGGAAACTTCACTGTGCTGAAAGAGGAGTAAAGCAGCACCAACCTTTAGTGCAGGAAAAGCAGCCCATGGCAGCAGGGCACCCTTCTGTATTTTCTGCCATCGTACCCAGTTCTCGCTGAAAGATCCTAGTACGTGCATGGCCACTTTGTGTGCCTGGGGGAAGGGAGATTTACCTCCCCGGACCGATCCTCTCTGCCATCCTCATCTCCCAGTTAGCCTCAGCACAGACACTTCCTTGACACATTCAGGCTTCACTCCCCAATCCTCTTAGTAAATTCAGAGCTGCCTATATGAGGGCACTAAGGACATGGAGAGATTAACATCTACCTTGTTCTCCTTCTGCATATTTGTGAGTGCATGAAGTGCAAGAGGACAGGGAAACAATTTTAGGGACAGGATAAAAACGTCAAAGATGACAAGCCACGAAAAAGAAGCAAAGTGGGAAGGGGGAGGAGGGAGAGAGAAAGAGAGAGATAGAGAAAGAGGGAGAGAGAGAGGGAAAAGAAAGAATAAGTATGCCTATACAAAAAGGAAAAGTCTGTGAAGCACAACAACAACAAGAAAAGGTGTGCGAAATACCCTTTCCATTTTTACCCAACATATAAAGATCTAACCTTTCTGATCCTTCGAGTTTCCCTAGTACATGTCTGGTGATAATAGGAAAGCTTAATACACATTCAAGGAGGTCTAAAATGTGCTCTGAAATCAACTCCTAGGATATTTCTAAGACACTCCATCTCAGGTATAAACAATAACTCTCAAATTCTCAGAAGAAACTCTGCTAATGTCCCCTGTGTAGATCATGAGTGACAGAGAATGAAGTGTAGGCAATACGTGAAAGAAAATCTTTGTCTTCTGAGGGAATCAAAATCATGTATCCAGAGCCTGAGGTGGAGTCCAGCCAAAACCTATCCCCTACTCTCCTCATTTACACCCAATTCTTGTTTAACCACAATCCAATTTCTGCTCTTATCTAACACTTCTCTTCAGAGAACATCATTGCTACCCATATATGACCCAGGATCATCTTGTTCTTGGCCCAAGCTACTTAGCTGAGAAAACCCTGCTTTGCAAAAGCCTTGTGATCAACAGGGAAGTCCTGGTTTTGATTTTTATGTTTCCTGTTCATGAAGATATTCCCCTACAACAACAGCAGGCCTCATTCTGGGTATGCAGATTTTCTGTGGGCTCTTTGTCCTGTACTTTTGACAAAACCAGAATGGATTATTCTGAAGGCAGAAAAGAAATTCTCCCTAAGAGAAAGAGCCTTCAGTGGAATAACCACAGTATTTTGGCTAGTACTACTCAAAATTCCTTCGGCTTCCTATCGAAAGGATGCAAGTAATAATCATGTGAAACAAAATGTACATGGAAACAGAAAAAAACAAAGAAAAATTAATGAGTCCTTTTTTTCCCTAGGAGTTTCCTCTTTCTTCTACCATTAGTTTCACTCTCCCATTAGTTTCATGCCCTTGTTTGCTTTTTACACCTGATTATGGAAGGAATGGATGAGAATTTTTTAGAGGAAAAAACATTCACACTAGTCTCACAGAACAGGAGATAATCCTTCTTGTTAAATTGGAATATTGCTCACTAGCTTTGCTTTTACCTATCTGCAATCCTCCTAAGATTGATGAGGTCTGCATGCTTCAAAGCTGTCTTGAAGCACATCAGCTCTCAAAGAAGATGTGAAGTCAAAAAGAGATCAATTTCTAGTGAGATAAGCACAATCTTTTAGAGATCAGAGAGTCTATAGACACTTCTCAAGATACAAGCCACAGTAAAAAATCTCTGAAATGACCGTGACATTTAATTCAGGTCAAATAATCCTGAAACTAAGCTTGCACTAACAAGCATCTCGAAAAAACAAATTTATGCGAAGGAAAAGCAGAAGCAGAGAGAGAAATAAGAGATAACTTTTATATATAGTGACGCCCTTACTTTGGCAAGTCGCTTCTGGTTTGTCTGGCCTTGTTTCAGCCTGGAGAAGTAGTGGTAGTACAGTGACACGTAGGTCATGATGGACCTCTCGTCTGGGTGGGGCACGGCCACGTCCTCGGCATCCAGCAGCTTGCTGATCCCCAGCTCCTTCTCTGCAACGTTGAAGGCATTGTTCAGGTTCTTGATGGGCTGGTCCTGCCGCAGGGAACTGTAGTGGATAAGATCAGGCCTGGACAAGGAGAAGAAAAGTGGGTGGAGGGAAGAGGGATTTATGTTTAAGGTCTTTCACATGATAAGATATAAACTGCTTATTAGAATAAGAAATGTGACATAAATTCTGAAATCACTATGACTCTGAGCTTAATTTGGGAGCATTGAATCTCACTCAAGCTGGAGGAGCAAAATTCCCAGCTTGGGAAGTACCACCACTCCCTAACAGATCTACGTGCTTTGTTTCTCTCATCTTCACTGGCTGGTGAAACTCAAAACATGCTAGTGAAGCAATTCTGAGAAGGCAGTTTACTCCCAGCTGGAAAAGCTGCAGGCTTCCCCTCATCCTGCCAGAGGATGGAGCAGAATTGTTAGTGGGAAAAGAATTATTCAAGGTTGTCACAGGCAGCTTCTCTCTCTTGCCTTGCACTGTATTCCCCACATTTTCTGAGAGAAAATGGGAGAAAAAGAAGAAACTGATAGTTTGTTTACTCTGCTACAACTGAATTAAAGAGTGAATGCTCATGAAGCTTGTACAATAAAAAATATCTCTGAAATAATCCATAACTTTTGTAAAAGTGCAACTGGAACATAATCAGGAGGGCTAAGACCAAATAGGAACTTGTTTAGATGTGTGATATTCCCTTGGAAATTCCAATTTACTTCCAACAGAGGGAACTACCAAGCAGGAAGCTTTTGGTTCTTCTTTCTTTAGAGAGAATGTGCTCATAAAAAGGAGAGATTTCTGTGAGAAAGGGCAAAGGGATGATTTTATAATATTTTGAAAATACAGGTACCTCAGGCCATGGAACAACTTGTGCCAGAGCTGCAAAGAGCAACAAGGAACTGCTCCTGGACTGATCCATCAGCTCTTACCTGTGAGCATGAATGAGTGCATTGAAGGCCAACCCATCACTCCAGCTTTTGGAGAAGTCCTTCACATTCACATTGGAATAGCTGGCAGTTTTATGCTGACACCAGATTAGTAAGGCTTCATTGGCAAACAAGAAATCAGCTCTGCCTCCAAATTCCTCCTGTGAAGAAGATGAAAAGTCAGGCAGAGAACATATGGAAGTAGTATCAGTGAGTTTATGCTTATGCTTCCCAAAATGCTCTCTCTGATTTACTTTTGCTCTGCTCTCAAATCCCCTCTAACAGTTGTAACAGCTTTAACATACTTAACTGGATTTACAATGAAGGTAGAATGATTTGACATGAATGCAGATTTCTGTGAAAGTTAGTTGAATGAACTTCTAAAATATAATTTTAGATGCAGATGTTATAAAGTTTCTGAATTTTGTTTTTCTGAAAAATTTGTAGAAACCAAGTAAAAAGCAGGAGAGACAAAAATCTCAGCTCTGTTTGTTTCCTTAGCTGCAGTCTAGATCTCAGAAACGAAATACAATATATTTATATCTAATGTTAGAAATTACTAGCTTGGATTTTACAGTGTCTTTAAAGGTACCTCTCAGGTTCTTACAGTACACATTAAATAAAGCCTAAAAAAATAATTTTTCTTAAAAAAACAAACAAACAAACTTTGCCAAGAGCAAATGATCTGCATGTAGTATAAATCTGGAGAAAATTTTCTTCAAAGAATTAAAGCTAGTAGAAAGTTAGTGGAGAGGGTAAGGAACCTCCAAGCTCTGGTTTTCCCTGTCTTTGAGAAACTCTAAAGTGGATTCAATTCCTTTTAGAAATTCCTGGCCAACTAAACCCAAAAGAGTTGGATAGTTGTATGCGGTTCCTGCTAAACATGCAAATTGCTGCGAGATATTTCAAGATCTACATGATCAAAACAGGCAGGAAACATCACCAGAATGGTCATTTCTTGCTGTTTTACCTTATCAAGTTTGATAGATGAAATCTGAAATCGGAGTATAATGATCCAGATAAGTCCCAGGATTAAGGTTTTGTCACCATCTACAATATTCTCAGGGCCAATCACTTTTACTTGCACCTGCTAAAAAAACAACATCTGTTCATCATGAAACAATTCACATCCAGTGCTCTGGAGGGGACATCTGTGTCGCAAACTGTGTGAAGAGAGTGTTAGCGACTCTATTCCACGGGAACCAAGAATGTTTATGACAGTTTGTCTTATCCGTCTTACAGCCTAAACCTGTCCTTCATATATCTTTTCATGTGACTAAAATTTCCATCAGAAAATGTAAATTTGAGGAGAGAATTCTTTTCTATTGTGAAAGTGCAGATTTTGAGCGCAATTATTTCAAACATTTTATGGGAAATAGTATTTCAGATCAGCATTTCAAAAGCAATATCTTTTCATTTAGGTGTGGCATTTTTTTCTGGACATTAGATTCTTATAAGTCATGCTAATCAAATAACAAGAAGTCAAATCAAGACCCAAAAACCCCCCCCCAAAAACCCCAGTCCTATGTGGGAAGAACATGTTATTGTATATCAAAGGGGAAAAACACGATTAACATAACACTAAAACTAGGCAGCAACATTTGTAAACTGTTGTCATCTGTGATATCCATACCTACCTTTGATTTCAGGAACATAATGGCTTTGCTGTTGTTCTCCAAAAAATGCACCCTCATTTTTCCCCTGTTTGGTCTGGGCAAAGATTCACCAGAGAGCAGCTCCAGGAGTCGCATGAGATAAATGCCATCCTTCAGCTCTGTATAAATATCCTCTATCACAACCTTTACCTGCAAAGACCAGTCACACAGTTCAACCCATTCAGCCTGGGTTAGCTCAAGAGCGGGCTCTCAGAGCCCTCTGCTCTAAGTGACAAGCAAAGAACATCCTGTTGCTGCTTTCACTAAATTTACCATAGGTCAGTGCATAAGTGTAAAAGGTAAGTGGACCTGACAAATCTTAATTCACTAAAAATGAATACGCAGAAAGACTGACATCATTTATGGCTCTGGGTTAAAATCAAATAAATGACCAAAAAGAACAAAAACAGGATAAATGGAGAGTAAGTACTTTAAAAACATCAAAATATTTTAACATTTTCAAAATCAAAAATTTTGGAAGTACTGATATTTTCATGCCAACATTTTGATTTGAATAAAACTTCTCCACTTTTAATTTTTGAGCAATGTATCTCATTTAAAAATTAAGCTGATAATCCCAAAGTGAAGTTAATCAAGACAAAGGAAATGAGAAGACTCATTTACAGGTTTGCTGGGTTAAATGCCTCCTTTTTAGTCTATAGTCTGTTAAAAGTCTGTCACATCCTGGTTAGATGCCTTCCAAAGTCTACAGACTTATCAGAGTCTCACACTAAACTGAGTCATTACGTGAAAAAATAAGATTTTTTATGAACACAATTTCATTCCTGCCAGCAGTAAGATCACTGAATGCTTTTGTGATATGACGTGACACAGGGTGTACTTGGATCTCGCAGAAGCTTGTTGCCTTAGGTGTTTCCTTTCGGCTTTATGCCAGGAGCCATCAAGAAGTGACACTAAGACCTTATGACACATCCAATAATAATTTACTGTGATTTTGAAATCATGGTAAATAAGCTTTTTGTCTCCAGAAAAAAAATCTGAAGGAGAAGATTTTGAATTTAGAGCATAGTTACAGACAAGGGAAAAAAAAAAAGGAATGAGTAACATGGAGACTTATCTTTTAATTCTCGACTGGATCTTCTTCCAGAGAATTGATAAATGACTAAAAGCATAAAAGTAGCTCAGAAAGACTTTAGATCTGTAGTTTGTGTTGAACAAGAACTGACAACATTCTCTGACTTACCATCCACGTGCAAGAACTTCCTGTTTAGTTGCTATCTTTATTTATTCTTCCACTTTTTTTTTTGTGCATTAGATAGGTCTAAAATTCTGCATATTGTATCTTACCATTAAAAAGCTAAATTTGTTACGCTCGGTGGAACCTTTATTCATGAAGAATAGTTCCATTTTATTTTGTTTATGATGTGACCTTCATATATTTGTACTATGTCCCAGTTGCCGATATGCTTTTAATATCTTTGTTGTATCAAACAGGTCTTGAGTTAAAATACCTATCACAGATTACTTAGCAAATTAAAAGCAATAGCATCCTTATTGCCAGACTACAAATAGTCAGCAGTGAAACTGAAAATATTGCTGTGTCCTGTAATATGAACCTGTGAAGTTGAAGGGTGCTTTCGAAGGCTGAAATTACATTGCTGAGAAGCCTTTGATAAGCTCCCAGGCCCTGCACTATTTCTTACCATATATGGTTTGCAAAGCTCTCTCCTTTTTTTTTTTCTTTTTCCCAACACTTAAAATATACCAGCAGGCACTCTCAAGGAAGTGGAGTGACATTTCAATCTTTGAACTCCACGGTGTTCTAAAAATGATAAAGTATGTGTATTTATTTGTGGCCATACAGAGATAAGTTCCTACACCATAAAAGCCAACGTTCTGCAGGTAACAAAACCAGATTGTGTTTTGCAGTTCTTCCCTTCTATTAAGAAAAAATAACTTAAAAGTTTGGTGTGCTCTGAAGCTACCTGTACACCAATCACTAAGTTGCAATAATACACTAAAAAATGCATCTAATATTGAAATATCCATCATAGTGATGAAGCAGAAAAAAATGAGAGACCCTGCCCTACTTGGTCCATTGTCATTAATATCAACCACAGACTCTAGGGAAGGGAATTGTTTTCAGGTAATTCCCTGCTACCATACATCACTTGTGCCTGAGATCAATTTATGTGAAGTATATGAGCTTATGTGAGATGTGGAATGTGCTGGAGTTACCTTTCATGCACAAATCAACTGTGCACTAGTTTTGATGCTTTCTGGCAGTCCCAGTTACTGAAAATGAACCGATCTGTATGTGCACAGCAATATGTCTGAGACTGCTAGACCTAAAGAGGAGCTTTTTTTCAGAACCATGGAGCAGCAGCACCAGCTGGACTGATCTGCATACAGAAATCTCAGGCAAAGTAGAAAATTCTTAAATTTTGAGGCAATGAAATATTGGACATTGTTTTGGGAAACTCAGACACGTCCAAATACTTCACTTACTATAAGAAGAACAGATATTACTCCAGGAAGATCTACAAGATATAGTGGACATCACAAAATTTACACAGTAGTAGGATGATAGTCTACAAAAGTGAATCACAGTTTCAAAGAAGACAGGTATCACAGGCAAAGGAGATAGATGCGAGATAAAAGATACAGGCTAGAACACTATGGTTAGTGAAAGCCTTTCTTGCTTGTATACATATCTATCTATGTATATCTATGATATTTAGAAAAAAATAACATGGAGAAGAATAGAGTGGAAAAAAAAAAAAACAGGAAAACCCCCAAAGTGGAGGAACCACCTACATTGTTCCTGAAGAAGACGTTGTTCATCCAGTTGGTGAAGGTTTTTTTTTGCATGGACATTCGCTGCTCCTGCAGCTTTTTGATGTGATCTTTCTCATATTCTGTACCCATGGTCACCTATGAAGCCAGAAACTCCGGTGAGATGTTCAGTGCTAAAGGTATCTGCCTGGGTAGCTACTAAAGGCAGTGCTGTACCTGATCTATCTAGGGAACGCAGCCACAACAGGTACAAGATTCAGCACCACACCCAGTAGAATGCCTCCATTTCCTTTTGCTTGCACTTTGCCCCCTTCTTTGCTTCTACTTTATTTTAACTTACTTGAGTCCTCCCTTTTAAAATACTTATCTACTTTCAGAATGAAAATGAGACCCATTGGGTGCACCATGATCAGAAAGCCATCAGGAAGGTCCTTCATGTGCTGAAAGCACATGCCTGGGAACAGATCTTTGACCTTCTCAGAAAGAAGGATCAGCAAGTCACCTCCCAATGCACATGTATTTGAATGCATTATGCTAACTGAGATGCTGCTGGTGGCTTTCAGACCACAGTGTGTCCAACAGAAAGCTGATTAGAAAGGAAACAGAACCAGCATGATTTGTCCTTCCTATGAGCTCAGTTTTTCCATATCTATCGCTTTAAGGATAATGATAAAAGTCTGCAGTCACAAAGACAGAGCAGGAAGCAAGGAAGTGCAATTCATTACGGTACCCAAAGTAAATGTTCAGAGAGCTTATAAAGGGGAGAGTCTTCCTCGTGATGATGCATTAAACTGGATTTCAGCTCTGAGCAGTTCTGTTGGAGTCATTGGGCTTGAGGTCCAAGACCATAATGGCAATGCCCATTGCTCTTATGAAAGTAAGAGGATCATTTAAGTAAATCAAAGATACAGAGATTTTTAATCACCAAACATCATCGCTTTGGACCACTGCCATACTCATAAGAATTACCTGGGTATCAGCCTAGCTGTAAAAACAACCTGCTGTAGTGGTGCTAGAAGAGTCTCCTGGTGTCCAAGTCACTGCAGAGAGAAAAGGGAACAGACACTGCAGCTCTGGGTCAATCTCTAGAGGTGCGAAGCAGGGTGACCTGCTTCCTCTCTGCTGTGCAGAGGCGCCTTTCTGAGCTGCTCTAGGCTCTGGGCCCTTTAACTCGTAAAATCATTGAATAAAAAAATACTATCTATCTGCCCTAGTGTGAGGAGACAAGTGTCTACAGGGAAGTAGCAGAGCAGCCATAGCAAGTAGGAAGTTGCTTGTCTTAAAGTTTTCCTTTCTTGAATAAATGTGAAAGATTCTGCCATTTTACAGGAGGGAAGGATACAGGAAGTGGAAAAAAATGATTTGTTACTGCGTCTTTCTTTCTTTTTTTTTTTTTTTTGGTCAGACCTTTTTCAACTCCTAATGCTTTCTGCAAACCAGACAGCCTGCCCGCTTGGGCATGTCATGAACATAACTGAACGCCTTACGAGGCATTTAACAAAGTTTGAAATGGAAATGGAAATAGATGCTCACAATTTTTTCTGATCTTTTGGGCTAGTTTAGCATTATAACTTTATCCATTTGGAGAGTGGATATACAAAGAATAGCCTTTTCCCTCAGGGAGAGTGATATTAACCCATTCCCCTTCTATTCTCAAGGATGCTGACATCTCTCGCACCCTCTATTCTCCTTTCCTCATGACGAATAACATTTAATCCTGCATTTTCTGACTGTTTTCATATCAACTGATTCTGTACTGAAGTTACTGAAAACTAATTAGAAGCAATAGGATCTGCCTTCTACTACCTCTGATCCTCAGAGCCAAGCACTGAAAAACTGGCAGCTTCCGGGGAGCCTATCAGAAATGTAATTAAGCCATCTTTTTGGTTTTGTTTTTGTTTTTTTTTCTCCCACAGGATGCTTGATTTATTCAGTGCACAAGGCCGAGTGTCATCCACCCAGTGCAGGCATGGACCCATGTCTTCTTTACGGTATCGTACTTAATACTGATCACAAACATAATACCACTAGCAACTCGAAATTTATCAACTGCTTTGGAGGGTTAAGTCTGAGGACTTACTACACAGCACACATATAGAAATGGATAGAAACAGGCATTGCATATAGGCAGCAGTTCAGTATCAAGGGTGAGAAATGGACATCTCTTATCACAGCAAAATTCCAGCTATTCCCTATGCTGGAGTCATTATTCCTTGTTCTTTCTGATAACTTACTCTGTATAGCTAACAGGCACAGAGATTTCATGCAGAGTTTATGTTTCCTATTTCTTACAGAATATCTGCTCATCTCAAGAAATCCACACCAGTTAAGATGGAGCTCTGTAATTTATAATAATACCTTTTCTGAATTTGCAAAATGGTTTTCAGAGTGTCTGCCAGCTCCATAACGCAGGTTTGCAGGCACCCTGGGCAATGACTAAACAGATTTCATTTAGCTGAAAAGGAAGCTTATTTGCTTAGTTACTGCCTCATAAAATAGTTCACCTCTTAAACTAAGTTTAGTAGAAATATATGAAGACAAATCTGTAATGGCTTATCTGTACTTGCAGGTTATAAGGGCAGTGCTAAAAGCCAGATAAGGCTGTAGCGATACGTTAGAGAAAAAAAAGATCCAAAAACATTTTAAAAAAATCAGCACTTACTCAGGTTTGAAGGAGCTCTTTCTCATACTCACCAGCTGGTCACTCCAGAGAATGACTTTCAATGCTATGTTCACTCTTGTTCCTACATTCAGCTCTCCATTTCCATGTGGGATGACCTTTGAAATCAGGAATTGAGACCAAGTATTTATAATCTACCTACGAACCTTTCACCTGACTCTGGAGGAAATAACCTGTTAGAATGCAACGAGTAAAGGTTGTCCCAGGCCTTATCTGATTCTTACGCTCAAAATAACATACAAATGACACTGACACTGCTATAATATGGTGAAAATAGTCATCCACCAAAAAGCTGATGCTTTGGCAAAGGGCATTTAGCTTTTCTCAGGTTCACTGAAGAGACTGATCACAGGCCACTTTTCTTAGAATAGCGTTACCTAAGAACTTAAACTTGACAGTGAAGTCTGACAAAGAAATTCCTAATTTCTTGAATTGGGATAAAGCAAGCGAGAAGATGAAAACCTTACGCGTCAGAATTTAGGATTCACCCCTTTGAGGGAGTAGATGCATCTGCGGGATCACCTACTGCGGCAAGGTGTACAGGGAGAAAGCTGGCAGCGGGAGGCACGCTTGTAAAATTTACTATTGATGGGCTTTCCTGTAAGAGGAATTAGAATATTTCTGGTAACTTAAATAGCACTGAGCCCTTGCTGTCACCGTCAAGGCAGCCCAAACACAGGGCACATTGACCAGGCTTCATTGCTGGGGAACACAGGGCTGCTGCCAGGAATTACTGCTAGAAAATGAACAGGCATTTGAAATCAGAAGTGGTAAGCACAGGTGCTCAGCTTAGGATGTAGCAAGAAAATTCCAGAGTTTCCGTGCTGGCCTCAGTAGTTTTGTTAGGGCAGAAATGCTGGCAAGGGAGATGCATTAGAAAAAAAACGCACAGAAATCCTAAAACTTGGTACGCATAAAACTTAAGAAGGGTAATCTGTATCTCCATACCCCCACTACACAAATATCACATTCAGCGTCTTTAAGCTAGCATATATTTCAGGTATTGCTCAAAATATTCCCTCCAAAGTCCTGGACTTGTCTTTACTAGCCATTTTGACCAATATTGTTCTTAATAATCAGGTTTAAATGAGAGAAGAATGAAAGATGGAAAAGGGCATGAATTCAGCAGTTCTTTTCACCTCATCTGTAAACTCATGGCTTGGTTACAATTCCACTTGCCTCTCTTGCTTTTCGTTATACCTCCGTTCTTCTGATCCTGTGGTGCGATCCTCCTCTCCCAGCTTCAATCAGTGCAGGTCAGCAGAGCTGTCTGTTGAGAAGCACCTTGTCATTGCTTTTATCAAATACAAGCACTGCTCTTATCAAATACAAGGCAGGGAATCAGTAGGTGAATTGGCCCTGGATGGAGCCATTTCTCCTTGTTGCAAGTTAATTATTATCTAATGATTAAATGTGTGAAACGTTTTTTACAGTAACGTAGGCAATCAAAGGTCTGGTGTAAAATTTATCTAATTCCTGAATGCAGATGCCCATTCAAGGAAACCACAGTGCAGAGCTAAAATGGTGGGCATGGATGTGGCGCTGAGGAATAAGGCCTTCTCATCAGTTATTTCGATTCAAACGTGCCAAGAGGAAGGGTAAAACACTATTTGCATGCAGCTTCCTGGGCGGACAGCTGAAGAGGGAGAGGCTCAGGGGCGCTTTCTACAGTCCATCAACAGGCTCTCTCTTTTAAAAAATACAAATAAAGTAAAATGTCAGCCTTCCTACTTGCTTATGAGCCCTCTCTGTTGCTGCCTTAACAGAGAGGTGAGGTCTTGTCTCCAATGCTGGGAAGGGCAAAGGGCACTCTCCCCCTTGCCCTGGAAACACCACTGTAAAACTGTATTTTCTTGTTTCTGAAAAGGGAGGATCCCCATGCAGGACATGGGAAAGAGGGGCATGAAACTTCCTTTCCCCTTAGCTGGATTTTTGGTGTTGCACCTTATTGTTCTTTGCATCACACGCATGCAAGCGAGCTCACCCCGCTACCCCTCTCAGTGTCCAACAACGCTGCTTCCACATGTAGAAATCTCAAAATGACAAACACGCAAGCTTGGGCTCTACAAGAAATAAGGGCAGTCCTCTGCCACAGGCTTGTAGCCTACACATGTTGAGAAAGAACAAGAAGTAGCTGGTTTATGCCTTGGTAAAAAGTAGTTGCCTTTCCGGATCTCACAGGCAAGCATTAAATTGCCTCTTCATCCTCCCCAAACTTTGTGAGCACACCACAAAGGCACAAAGCTAAAGGGATTGGCAAAATAACAGTTTCTTTTCCAAAGACAACATTCACTTACCCCCTGTATTAGATCTACGCTGAAGGACCTTCAGGAATACATACTCACAGCTTAGGTGGAAAGAGGAGTGCAGCCCCCCTCCTGACTCCTAACATGGGAGAGCTCCCTATCCCTGACTATGCTCAAGCCGTGCAGAGGGTTGGACACAGACCAGC